ACACTTGCGTGTGGCTCCAACGATGATGTGTACAGCTGCCCATAGAACCTCTCAATCTCACTCAAAATCTCAGGTGTCCCGGAAACGATGCTGCCACACTCAGTCTTCAGCCTTGACAGTTGGCTCTTTCTGGCAGACAGATCTCTGGCAAAGACTTTGGAGCCCTGGTTCCGCTCGATCGCTTCTTTAATACGAGCAGTATTAAAGTTGCGTAAGTCTCGCCGCATGCATTTGGAGATCTGTCTGTTCAGTTGCCTGTATGCTGTCAAATCTGTTGACGATTGCAGCCTCATCTCCCGTCTAACAGCCATGAGATTAAGAGTGTGATCGGAGAGTTTTTGTGTTCTTCTGCGGCGGGTCTTGCAGAACTTAGCTCCGACCGCATGGACAGTTTCCACGAGCTTGTCATTCATATCGTCCACTGCATTGCAATCTTGTAGGCACTGAAAGCGGTTGTGTAACTCGAGTTGAAAGTTTTCGGGATTTTGGATCAGAGCACGAGGGGGATGGAGCGTTGACTTCATTAGACGAGACCTCTCCAACTTAACGTTTAGGTTCAGTGTGCCTCTAACCATTCGGTGATCGCTGCCAGTTTTCACCCTTGCGATCACTGAGACATCACTGAACAGTTGGCGTCTGGTCGTCATAATGAAGTCAATCTCATTTTTTGTCGAACCGTCGGGGGCTCGACCAGGTCCACTTCCTGTGGGGCCGCTTCTGGAAGAAAGAGTTCATCATAAAGAGTCCCTCTTTCTCCATAAAGTCGGCCAAATGTCGGCAAAATGTGCGTAATTGCGTGTTTTAATATATTGTGCTAGTGAAAAAATTAATTTGTTATCAATATGTGGAAAAAAAGAAAAAGATTTGGTGCAGTTAGACGAAGGATTAAAAAGGAATATTTAAATATTACAAATTATAAACGAAATAGTAATGATACTGAAGAATATAGAAATACTTTAATACCTAAGTCAGTCAATATACAGTCAAGCGCCAATTCCATTGACGTCTAACAAAAGAGTTTCGTAGCAAAAACTTTAAACGTAGTTTCCATAGTTGCTGTCACTTGTAACTGTAGTTTTTTCCTTTTTCTTTCATCATCAATGTTGGTGGTCGCTTCTGTTAAGCAAACTATCTAGTTCTCCTTTCTTATCAAATGACGATCTTGTAGCTCTTTCCCACGAAACCGTGAAGTGTTCCAACTGTCTTAAGGCATACAATTTTTTGATTCCGGAAACTTAGTACAATGAAAAGGCAATTTTTCCCTTTCTCTATGGTTTCCACAATTTTAAATAGCATATTTTCCTAAAAAGTAAAATAAAACAAGTATAATACATACCACACAGTAATAATACTTCACAATAAGTTTACTTAGGTATCAAATAAAATTGCTAACTCTTTTGGTTTAGCGGTACCTACGTGACACACGAGTATGACGATGAGAGGGAATGAATGCGGAAACGAAATGCTTACGTGCTTGCCAGGAGTTATCTATTAACTAAACACAATAACAAAAGAAACGCATACTTGTACTTGTACCGTACTACTGAGCGAGATAAAATATTCTGTCATAAAATTTACCTCCTACAACATTGTTTGGTAAAGAAAGAGATAGATTCAACTCCTTACTTTACTTTTTTACTTTAAACAGATGTATAGGTAATCTATATTTGCTATATCATAGTCATTTTGCTACTAGAGACAAAATATTATGGTTTCGTTTGTGAATTTAACTGACTATAAGGGGTAGTAAATTTATTGCCCAATAATACAATATTTTCAATAAAATTGACGGATTTCGGATGGTATAAAATGAAAAAATATTTCTTTATTAATTTATTAACTTTGGCTGCGTAGCTTTATATAGTCTCCGTCTTAAAAGAAGTGAAAGAAGTAAACACTTTTTTGTCCTTCTCCATGAAATAAAACAAAAAGCTAATAAAACGCGGTTAAATCTTAAAATAATATTATTTAAATGAGATAAAGTGAAGAAGGGATAAAATTGTTGTACCTAAGACAAAGGTCTTTCATCTTTTATACGTATCTCTGAAGACAATTATATGTGATATTTTAAAATCTACTATATAGGGTCAGTAATAAATATATTCTATTTTACAACTGATTAAAAACTAATGGCTGCATGATAGAATCCATTACATATAGAGTACAGCTACTAAGACTGTAAGACCCTCGAAATATCGTTTACGCTGTTTAGGTAGCAAATTGTTCGCCATTTTAAGACCTATAAAAACAAAATTTAAATTGTAAATTTAGGAATGTAGGACATCAGTTTTAGTCCAAATCATTATTTTCAGGTTGTCTAATGAACACTGTGTCCCAATGTGCATTCATATGATTCGCTAATTTAATTATTTTCTTATTCTAACCTATACAAACAATATTTACTTACCGTATTTAGTACTTTGTCCCTATATTATTTCGTTATTTGGTGGCGTGGTAATTTTTTTGATAAAAATTATAAAGAAGTTTACTGTAAATCTAATTTTGTACTTTCAATTTCTCAGTTATCACCGTCAAAACTCAAATCCAATCCAAGTAATGTTAATATGTAATATAATCTTTCACTCACTAAATGTCGCCATCATTCAATGAAGTATATAAATAAATCTAATAAGCTCTTTTTGTCATAAATTCATTTGGGATCCGTTAAAAACATAATTTAGAACGTTTATCTTTAAAAGATATAGAAATACAGCAATTATATAGCCACTATTATGCTTGTAGAGCGACTGTACAATGCTACTAACTATAATTTGTGTCATTTTTTACTTATAAGAACTGTATAAGCGTTAATACATCCTTTTTACAGCCAGAAAATGCAGCCTCTGGTATAAAAAGGAACTTTAATATAGCTCATTTACAGCTTACATGTAACTTGGTCATATCTAATCAAATCATTGATAGATTGATCATACCAGTTTTCTTACGCGTGTTTGTGTGTGTGTGTGTGTGTGTGTGTGTGTGTGTGTGTGTGTGTGTGTGTGTGTGTGTGTGTGTGTGTGCGTGCGTCGTCCAGGATGTGTGTGTGTGTGTGTGTGTGTGTGTGTGTGTGTGTGTGTGTGCGTGTGTGTGTGTGTGCGCGTGCGTGTACATGTGTGCGTATGTGCGTGTGTTCGTGCGTGCGTGCGTGCGTGCGTGCATGCGTGCGTGCGTGCGTGCGTACGTGCGTGCGTGCGTGTGCTGTGTGTGTGTGTGTGTGTGTGTGTGTGTGTGTGTGTGTGTGTGTGTGTGTGTGTTTAAGTGTAAACAAATTGATATTAACTATTAACAATTGATATTAACATCGTCGTTAATAATAACACATGCGATGATGGAAAAAGAAGAAGCGATAAATTGTTGTTGTTTGAGTTTTCTTCAACTCATATTATTGTTTACTATTTTACTAACATATCGTTAGTTTTCTATAAATTACATGTCTTAAAAAAATGTGTATCTATGATGATGATGTGTTAAGAGAGAACCGTGTAGTGGCGGTGTAAGGATACTGTACCACCTCGTATGGTCCCGTGAATGTCTGAAGAGGCGGCAGAAGGAAACTGAAATAGAAGATGGGCAGCAGAATCTACCTTTTTTATAGGACAGGGTGACAAATGAGCACACAGTCCAACTGATGGTAAGTGGTGTCTGCGGCCCGTAGACATCTATATCTATCCTGAAATCAAAATGCAGATGCGTTGTCACCCGTGAGGTCTAAGATGGAATGCCTTGTTTCCAGTAAAAAGGGTCTCCGGTTCTCTACACTCACCATACGAAACAGCAGCATTAAGCTACTATTTCACGCTGGTATTCTGTGAGAGCGTGGTCCTTCCCCGGTCGAGCCGACCCGTTCGTTCTACAACTATACTACTAATATAACTGCAGCATCTCAGCTCTACCACGTAAAACCTATCCTAACCTACCTGAAAACAACTCAAAGTAATAAAACTACGGTTGCCAAACCCGTATGCCAAGCTTGGCAACTCTGGCAAAATCCTCCTTATGAGGTAATCTGGAAGAGTTTGGAGAGATAGAGAGAGAATGTTCAACAATAAAAAAAATTTTTGGCTGTAATGGTGTTTATTAAAACTAACACGTCCTTTTGTAAGGATTTCTAAAAGACGTCTTTAAATCGGAAAAGTCTAGTTATCAACATTAGACAACTGTGGAAATATGCAAAATTTCTATATAAAGTCTTTTTTAAATTATTTCTCTTTATGGATGTACTGGAAGATATTTCAGTAAATTATGGATTAAGTGGAACCTTTGGACGAACATACTATAAGACTGTTTCTGTATCTTGTGTGTACATAAATAAATAAAAAAATATACAATATCTTGTAAAACAGCGTAATCTTCATTTAACTAAGGAAATAATTTGTCGATTAACAGCGCCAATGAGGCGATGTGGACACAATTTAGGTAGAGCCAGGACGATTTCCAGCCCAATATGCTAAACGACCAGTTGTGAGTCAATGGTACTTGAAGTCCTAATTATGGTCGGATGGCGCGGAGGGGAGCTAGCCGCGGTGGGAGGCACTCGAGCACTGCGCCCGCCGGCCGTCGTACGTATTGTATGGAAATATATAATTGACTCTGTATTCTTCTTTTGACGGGCCCCGCGACCGTTCTATTATGTTGGACGCAGTGCTAGCGGCGCCACTCGGCCGCCACTGACCAGGTCCCCGGTCGCCTGCCGCACCAGCCGCGGCACATCGCCACTCCGCATCGCCACGCACCACCCCGCATCGCATCGCACAGCCACGCACGCATCGCACCGCCATGAACGCGACCGACCGAGGTACGCCACTTACATATTTATCGCCCGAACCGAACGCCGCGGCAAGGTTACATCGAAACAGGTCGGAAGTACGTCCAATTCCAGTGAATAGATAGGTCACTCACTATTGCGATGTGAGGCTATTAGAGCAGGGGCGCTGGATTAAATCGGCTCTCCGAGTGCCCGTGATTGAAAGTGAGTGTCGTGGCGTAAGTATGGAAGAGTGATGACCATGGCCTACAATGGAACAGGTACGTGGCACATTTTGATAATATATCAACATCGAATATACTTTGTACACAGATTTATAATAAAGCTTGTTTGTTCCTTATTGATATGTTTTACATTTTGCATTTTTAATATTAGTTTGTTTGTAAGGTAAACTGATTTTCAGAAATATGGGTCCCGTTTCGGGTAAAGGTCTCACTCCAACTGCTCCCAAAAATGCTTCTCTATTTTACCTTTTACTCAACTAGTCTCTCCCTGCATACTGTACTATCACCAGCTCACCGTTTGTGTGGTCTTCCAACTTTTATTTTGATACCGGTCAATTCTATTGCGTGGTTTGTATTCATAAGTGCACGGTTTTAATTGATAGATATCTTTCATACGATGAACCAGGTTCTAAACTCCCGTGACAAATTAAATTTGATCCTATTAAATTAAGGGCGTGGTTGACGACTCCGGCACAATAAACTGTGATGACTTTACGGTCGAAGTTGCGTCGATAGCGGCCCGCTCTGAATATTTATTCAGAATGCTCAAGATGAGTTATACATATTGCGACTGACCTGCCACAAAAAGGGTGATCAATACACACGCAATAATTTTTAAAGCCCTGCCTAACACACTACAGTTGCTAAATTGTAGTCGTTACCTAATTTCTTTTTATAGAATAAGGGTGACAAACGAGCACATAATCTACTTGATGGTAAATGGATGCTGTGGCTTAGAAACATCTACATTTATCCTCGATTAAGAATCAAAATACAGATGCGTTGTCACCCTAGAAATGCCTCGTTTCCAGTAAAAAGAGTATCCGGTTCTCTACACTCGCCATACGAAACACAGCAGCATTGAGCGGCTATTTTATGGTGACTTTTCAGTGAAAGCGTGGTCCTACCCCGGTTGAGCTGAACCATTAGTGCTAAAACCATAATATAGCTGTACGAATTGGCTCTACCACGTATGAGATTATGCCATTGCTCAATAGAGCCTTAATTTTGAGCTCAACTCAATATATACCGAAATATCAACAATGCCTGAACTCGTTGATGGTCGTGTTAGCGGCCGCTCTAGTAGTTAAGATCACTCCCATCTATAGCCCAGAGACTTTGTGAATCATTTAACCGTTACATTGATAAATTGTTATCGTTCTAGCCAATTATACGTCGATTCCGAGCGCAAATGTACTGTTTATATATTACTTCAATATCACATAAAAAATTAAATGAAACAATTTCATTAATTTAATTAAATTCAATATTTATAACACAGGCCTCAGAGAGAGCTAAACTAAATAAGTGGCGAAAATGTATCTCTCTTAGAGATGACTACATATTTGGATTTCGGTCCGTGGATTTCACTTGTGTTGAAGTTCCAATAGGAACTGAATCCGCGACCGGTCATCGCTGCTGGTGATAAGAGTACTGGTTCTATTCTCGCTCAAAAGATAAGCCATTCAGCGAGGAAAGACATCAGCGTTCAAAGCGTAAATCGGGTCTCCGGTTCTCTACACTTACCATAAAAACACAAAAGCATTAAGCTGCTATTTTATACTGTTATTCTGTAAGAGCATGGTCCTACCCTGGTTCAGCAACTCATTCGCGCTACAATCATAACATGGCTGCAGCATTGCTCTTCAACGTCGTCTACGTACTCATCATGAGTTGCGGTAAAACCACGACGCTGATATTCAAACTAAATAATATAATTTATTAATTGCTTATTAATAAATTATAGTATTTAGTTTGAAAATTAATTAGTTACCGTAATTTAGTACGGTTACTTTCAGAAGTGAAATTATGAATCATATTTAAATTAGATTTACAGTATTTAATAATACTAATACCTAGGCTGCACTAAAAGTATCGGGAATGGATATGGTTCCTGGCATATTAAAATCGTTTTAATTGAAAACTCCTTGGTTTTAAAAATCGAATACCATTTATTTATTTAAAAAAAGATTCTCGGTCTTGTCACAAGGTTTCGTCAAACTTGTTTAGTCATTGAGAAAATGGAATTGACTCGAGAAAATTCGAGAACGAAGTGGTTTAACACAAAAACAGTGTGTTGACGGGATGATTTCTGCATTTGGTGATGAAGCCCCATCCAAAACCACAACTTCGCTATTTCGCTATATCGCTGGTTTGCTGAATTTCAACGTAGACGTGTCAAGCTCAGTGATGATCCCCGTCAAGGTCGTCCAAAAACTGCAGTCACCCAAGAAAACGTTGATGCTGTGCATAAGCTGATTGAGGAAGATCGACATGTTACATACCGCGAAATTCAGGCAACTTTAGATATTGGCATGAGTCAAATACAAATAATCTTGCATGAACAATTAGGTGTAAAAAAGTTGTTTTCCCGATGGATAACGCATTCGCTCTGTGAAGAGCAAAAAGCGGCTCGCGTTACTTGGTGCGTCAGAACACTTTAAAGATTCCACGCAGGATCCTCAAATGCTGTATACAACATCGTATCAGGTGACGAATCCTGGATATATGCGTACGAACCCGAAACAAACAACCAGTCACGAGTTTAGATGTTCGAAAATGAGTTAAAGCCAACAAAAATTGTTCGTTCACGGAGTGTTACAAAAAAATGGTGGCCACGTTTGTCTCCAAAACCGACCATGTTACGACTATTCCTCTTGAGGGACAAAGAACGGTTAATGCAAAATGGTATGCTAGCATTTGTTTGCCACAGGTCGTTTCTGAACTCCGTAAAGAGAACTGCAACCGCCGCATAATCCTCCATCACGACAATGCGAGTTCTCACACCGCACACAGAAAAAAAGAGTTTTTGGAGCAAGAAAACATAGAATTATTAGACCATCCGCCGTACGGCCCCGACCTAAGCTCTAATGATTTCTATACTTTCCCTAAAATAAAGAATAAATTGCGTGGACAGAGATTTTCATCACCTCAAGAAGCTGTGGACGCCTACAAAACGGCCATTTTGGAGACCCCAACTTCCGAATGGAATGGTTCCTTCAATCATTGGTTCCATCGTATGGAAAAATGTGTCAAATTTCGCGGAGAATACTTCGAAAAGCAATAAATACATTTTTAAATAGTAATGTTGTGTCACTTCCTTGATTCCCGAAATTATCAGTGCCGCCCTCGTAAGTAATAAAATTGACTTAAAAAAACCAAGACGTCATTATACTTAAAAAGTCAATCAAATCGTTAATAATCAATTACTTTTACCATTATCAATCGTTAATTATAATTTTCAATGCCTTTACCTCGTATTCGACTATTAAGGAAAACATTGGAAGGGGTACATTATACATACATTTGAGAAATTTAAGAAAAATATTTTGAAGATGTCGAGTCCAACACGCTTAAGGCAGCGTGACTGATATCTGTTTGCCCTAAAACCCTCTCATGAATCAGTGGCTTGTGCCCGGCAGTGGGACAGACATTAACTTGATTTTACTTCAAAGTCCGCCGCGTTACATCAATAATTGTTGTCAGACCTCACTTATCCGTGACATTTTTTTCTTCAAATTCTCAGATATACTTATATTCAAATGTTTTTATTAAAAGAAAATTACTGAAAATTGTAATAATAACAGCAAAAAATACAAATATTAAAAGTTATTTATGCCTTAGGGAAAAATCCCATATCCCGGAAATATCCCGAGATAATCCCGTGAACACTAGTAAGAAAGGTTACTGTACCTACGTTACATTTACTACTGAACACATATTTTCTCTCATTTTGAATGGAATTGTCTACCGCACTGTTCCTTCCTTTGAAATATTTTTTGATATCTCAAATATGCGGGTTTCCTCACGATGTTTTCCTTTACTGCCGGGAACGTGGTACCTTACCGTAAGCGTTAAAATTGCAATTAATTATTTTGTTTGTACCAGCGGGGATCGAACCCGGCTTTCCAGCGAGCGCCTACTAAACTACCACGGCACCTCCCAACATGGAACTCAGCTAAAATACATTCCATCCATAACTGAGTAACAGCTTTTAAGAGTCCACTAGGCTCCTTCATATATTGTCCCATAGGTGGGATTCCGCCATATGTGCCAAGCTTAGCAAGCGGGTTGGCAGTGGATAGTGGATATTTTCATAACGCCAAGAGGTATTTTGCGCTGCGGAACTTTTTACAATTTTATATTTTTAATTAAATACTCCAGAATTCCGTTAATGCATCAATCGTGTATTCTTGAATTATAATAATAGCCCTTGTTTAATAAAAAAAGTGAAACCCTGATTATTTTCTGGGACTTTGTTGTAAGAACGTATCATTGATCCATGAAGAAATTACTGACTCAGGAGTCGAGTTACTGGTTTTTACATCACAATTTCAATAAAGAAAGAGGTTCTTAGATCGTAGTAATATTTTTTATGAACGTTCAGCGATATTTTTATCACATATGCCATGCATACCTTAGAGGGAGTCCCTTGATAGGATCTATGCGAAAATCATTAACCTCATTAATTTGCTAGGAAAAAAAAAAAACACGATACATGAGGGAATAATTCCTTACCACGTCAACCAATACGATCATTATTGATATTTTTAGTTTTTAAATGTCAGTTTTTACTTTTTATGGGTATTTGAAACACTAATTTCACAAATATACCTAAACTGAAGTTAATAATACATTTATTTCTTAAAAAACTCCTTGTTAATGTACATTTGATTCAATTATACGTTAAAATTATTGTTATAGCCAAGTTTTATTATCTTCCAAGCCAAGGTATGTCATAATATATAATAGCATAATAATACTGGAGTATGAGGCGAGACGCGGGTTCCTAAAGTTAGAAGAAGGGGAGGGCTGAGTTACATCGGTGCCTCATCCGGTCAGTTCTCGTACTAATTGACAATTGGCGGGCAGCGGCGTCGACTGACACTCGAGAAAATGTTATATATCAGCCCTCCAGCTCCCGTTTTATGTTTTAGAGGATTTGATAGGATTAAATAAAGGCCATAAGTTAAAAAAAGACGACAAAATATTGTTTTCAATGAAACGCTGTTATGGTATCTGTAGCTACTTTATTA